ATATATACAGAAATTATATATATATATATATATATATATATATATATATATATATATATATATATATATATATATATATATATTATAGAATAAGGGTGACAAACGAGCACACAGTCTACTTGATGGTAAGTGGTTGCTGCGGCCCATAGACATCTACATCTATCCTCCATTAAAAATCAAAATGCAGATGCGTTGTCACCCGTGAGGACTGAGATGGAATGCCTCGTTTCCAGTAAAAAGGGTCTCCGGTTCTCTACACTCACCATACGAAATACAGCAGCATTAAGCTACTATTTCACGCTGGTATTCTGTGAGAGCGTGGTCCTTCCCTGGTCGAGCCGACCCATTCGTGCTACAACTATACTACTAATATAACTGCAGCATGGCTCTACCACGTATATATATATATATATATATATATATATATATATATATATATATCGTATATATATTTATATGTATATCATTTTCATAAAATTTTGTGTCCAGGGACTTTCGGGGGCAATAAATCGATCTAGCTAGGATTTATTTTTAGAAAATGTCCTTTTTCCAATTGTCCGTGTTTTCAGGCAATAAAAAAACTGCTACAATATAAGAAGGTTTTGTAACGATCGTAATAGCTCTGGTGGGATGTCGGTCGGGCGTGATATCGGAGTTCCGTGGTTTGCGTCCTGTCTCTGGTCCGGCTCTTTTCCTTTTTTTCAAGTTCCCTTCTTTTGTGAGAAAATCTATTATTTCAAGCTCTTTTTTTAGTATTTTTTAAAATACGAAAATTTTAATAAAACTAATTGCACTCATGATTTTTTGTTCCAATAACCAGTTCAGTTTTTTCTATTCTGTCAATAAGATCAAAAAATATTATTTATGTTTCATCAGTATGTAATTTATAAATGTAATTTAAAAAAACCGAGCAAAGCTCGGTCATCCGGGTACTACGTGGTTTAATTTAGCTATTTCCATAGCATATTGTTGTATGGTATTTTGCTATGGGACATACTATTGCCATTTATATTTATTTTACAGAAGAGGGCCATTAAAGCAATCTATGATTTATAACCTAAAGAGTCAGCTCAGACAAAAATTTAAAAAAATTAATATATTAATAACTTGGGCCTCTCAATACATTTATGAAAATGTAATGTACGTACACAAAAATAAAAGTAGTTTTATAAACATAAGCGATATGCATTCTGTAAATACTAAGAACACACACAAGAAGTAGCTAGTAAAGCTAGAACAGTTACTGTTCACCTCCTCCACCGAGTCAGTAAATCATATAGTAGTTTTCTTGGGGTGCTTTTATAACAAAATTCAAGAAAATTTGACCTGCACAAAGTCCGAAAACTTTATTTAGGTGAAGTGGGCGCCAAAAGCAGATTGTTCACGCTTTATAGGTGGGACTGGCGGCTGTTTGGTCGGCCCACGCGCTATTTAATCGCACAATATTTATTTGATATTTCTTTTTAAAATTATATATACTATTTTATTGAAAAGTAAACACATAATTCACTTACGTATTTACTGATGAACACATAGCCTGAATTTAATTCAAAATGATTTCATTACATTCGAATGAAACAGCTTTTTCACTTAGTGGACGTACCTAAAATTGTAGATTTTGAGGATACTTTGCGATCTTTTTCTATCGAGCCAAAATGTGACAATCGTGTTTTGGCCAATATAATTCACTTAGAAAAATCTTTCACTTTCACAATGAATTTAATAAAAATGTGGATTCGTAGTTTTTAATGACAAAAAATGCTTTCCTATAAAGCGTAAAAAATCTGCTTTTGGCGCCCACATTACCGTAAACTAAGTTTGTATAAAAAGGGGTTATTTTAATATTAAGGAATTTATGGATGATAATAACCCCTGGCAAGTTTGCTTGGCAAGCTAATTCTAATTTGTTTTGTGTTGTTTTATTGCAACACACGTGATAGTAAGCTGTTTTTTTTAAATAGTCCCGCTGGGTTTTTTGCTGGTCTTTCCCAGGACAGAGGTTTTTTTCCGAACCAGTGGTAATTAAAAAAAAAGTGACTTTCAATTAGTATTAATAAATATATATTGAATAAAAAAGTTTCTCTTTCTGTTTCAAAATATATGACGTCAAATCGTTTTTTTTGCATTAATAATTAAATAATTAATGAAATAAATAAAATATGTTACTGTAATGCTTATTAAGCTACAGCCACATAAAATTAAATATGTATTTTAAAAATGTAAAAGCCAACGTCAAAGAACTGCGTACTGTGTGTAAATGTACGATAAATATCGAAAGGAAAATATCGATGCCCGAAAACATCGATTCTTAATCGATTCAAATTCTCTGTAAACTCTAAATTCTCTGTAAATTTCACAGTACGCTAGCAACTCCGGTTTGATCCCTACCGGCACCAACGAAAATGTTAATTACTATTTCAAGTGCTGATTTATCACATGTTCGGCGGCGAAGGAAAACATCGTGAGGAAGCCTAAATGTTGGAGAAATAAAAAATATATTTCGAAGCCATGTGAAGTTCGCCAACACGCATTGGCATTTTGCAACTGGTATTTGCAACACGCGGCGGCCATTTCCCTAAAACCCTCTCAAAAGTGAGGTCAGTGCCGGGTCGTAAATACATAATATAGGCTTTTACTTTTATTTTTTAAATGTATTTATTACGATAAAAAAATAACATTTCCAGTATTTTTGGGTACACATTGCATAAATTAATTTGTTAGAAGTTTTCCTTTTGATCTCTTCCTTTTTACAAATGTTGAGCAACTTTTAAAAAAAGTCTTTTCGAAACTGTCGAAGTCGCTGAGCAGTACAAATGTTTCGTGCCTACTTTCTTCGACTTTGGAAAGGTAATTCCTAGCACTTTCTAAAAAAGTACTGGATCTTACTAGCCTCAATTTTAGGCCATTTGAATGGCCTAAACCTCGAGTATAAAGACGTTTCCATATTACTCCTGTAAAACCGATGTTTTCCCGTTATACGTCGATGTTTGTCTACCTTCGATGAACATCGATCGTCTCCAGTCCTATCACCTCATGACATGACCGCGGGTTTGCTCGTAGAAATGATTAAATCAAAAAAGTATATAAATTATACTCATAAAATAAAACACATATATAAGGTTATATATACGATTTAAACGATTTGTACTATTTAACAATTTTTTTTCATTACTTTATTTATGCGTAGGAATTTCTTGTAAAATACAAGAATGATTATGATTAGCGTGGTTTTAAATCCCAGTATCAGTTGAACGCCTATAAAACTATGATATAACTAATGATTTTTTTAGATATAAACATATCGCTATTGCGTAATATATGAGATTTTTTATTTATTACATACAAGAAAAGAGTTTACTCCTTTCTAAAGGGCCGGCTACGCACCTGCAATTCCCCTGGTGTTGCGGTTGATCATGGGCGGCGGTAGTCACTTAACATCAGGTGAGCCGCATGCTCGTTTGCCCCCTTTTCTATAAAAAAAACATAGTCTTCATCTTGTGAGTGTCACTAAAGACATGACACTAAAAAAAATCAATATGGTAACAACCAGGCGCCATATTGCTTAAAGGAAAAAACGAAAGTTGACGAACTATTTCAAGTTGGGTATAATTGATTAGGTCTTTGAAAATCATATTTAGATTTCTTTAGTCATTCTACATTTTGAATGACCATTTAGGATCTATAACGATTTAAATTTGGGTAAAGACCATTCTAGCTTAAATTTTCATAACTTATAATAAGGCTGTGTATTATACGATTATACAAAGTTCTTATATAACAGTATAATAGGTATTATTAGTGAGTTTTTTATTCAGTCGTGTTTTTTTTTCTCAAAAAGTTAACCTAGCTTGTATATATAGATAATTAAATGAATGTGTAAAACAATCACATCAGAACAAAAACTTGATTAAATTGATAGAATCAGGCGTTACTTTGCGGAAATCCATTATAGTAAAATATTAATATTTACTTTGCAACCATCCGCTATATCAAATAAAATGATGTGTCTTACCTAGTTTGAAGAGCACCTCCCGCCCTCCCTCAATTGTGTGCACTATTTCCTTCACCACTAATCCCAGCACCACTATTCCCAACACCACTCCTCCCAACACCACTATTCTAGGAAAGACACACTATCGACGGTAATACGACACGTGTTCCGCCTCTACACGAGGCATCTTCAGGTGATGTAGACTCTACGGCGTCAGCCGCCGTAGGGGACTGACAGCTATAGCCTTTTTATGGGTGGTTGTTGGAGGGAGGATCTGAAGAGCTAAGTCTCAGCAGTCAGCCGCCGTAGAGTCTACATCACCTGAAGATGCCCCGTGTAGAGGCTAAACACGTATCGTATTATCGTCAATGGTGTGTCTTTCCTGGAATAGTCGTGTTGTGAGTAGTGGTATTGGGAGTAGTGGTGCTGGGATTAGTGGTGACGGGATTAGAGCACGCAATTGAGGGAGGGCGGGAGGTGCTCTTCAAACTAGGTAAGACACATCATTTTATTTTATTGAGCGGATGGTTGCGAAGTAACTATTAATACCTTTATTAACTTGAATAAAAATAAAATTGCACAATGCCATTATAATTAAGTCATGCACTGGCTTAAAATTAGTAAAAAATAGGTGGGTATTAAATAAACTATGCTTAATAATTTACTATACTTACGCAAATACTGCACATTGAGTAAGACAAATCTTAGGGATCTTATCGTTCTGTCATCCACCAGTACTGGTGGATGACAGAACCAAAGTCATTCACATAATTTTACAACACTCGTTCCAGATGACGTGGTGGCTGGCTGATCCATCGTCACTTAGTTTACCGGTTATTTGGGCAGTGTCAGTTACTAATGTCCTACTACAGCAAGGTTACTGGCAATGAATGTCTACTGGTTGTACACTTCTGTATTTAAAGCTTAGGATCTGCTTTACACGAATAAAAACCTTAATTTCATAAATGAAGAAATTTTAGAAAAAAAAATATTAACTTCGTTTCAACAGGAATCATCGTATACGACAGTAGCCGCGACAACGCTTGGCGTGTAACCCACGCTTCCATGTACCCCGACCCTAACTTGGGCGAGATCGAAATCTTGGGCGACAAGTTCACGCTCATGGATGGCATCGTCGGTCTAGCGCATTCACCTGCTCAAGGTCTTCTGTACTACCAACCTCTTGCTACTGACCGGTAAGTAATAAAAAGTAGTGATTAGAATGGTCGTCACACACGGTCAGTTCAACTGATCATTCCAACTGATAATATTTTAAAAAATATCAGTTCCATTATCAGTTTTAGTTTTAACTGATCAGTGGCGTCCATAATATATGCTTTTTGGTAAGTAACTTAAGGTAATAAGTTAAACGCACATGTATGTAATCATAATCAACATACCTGTCTTAAATATGTTACATGTATTAGTTTACATGTTTAAAAGGAGGAAACTTCATTCTATTTTTTGTATGCTTGATTGATTACAGCGAAAAGATATGCAATTTAGCTCCGTTAAAATTATTAATTTTACTGTGTTGGTTCCGCCGCGGCCTTATAATATCGCTACGATAATAGTTCCACTATCTTTTAAAAAAACAGATCGATACCCTGCATAAGATCTCACTTAGTTTTTCATGTAAATTTAATATAAAAACCATTAGAAACAATTAAAGCATGACATTAAGAGATATAGGGGATTCGCATTCAATGCATAAATAAGTTACTCTTTTTATGCGTTACCTTAAACTATATTAACAAGGACAGGAAAAAAGTTACAACTAGATCAATAGTCATATTTTCTTAACCCTCAATATAAACATAATAGTAATGAATAAGATAATGAAAAGGGACCAAGTTAGTTATACATGAAAAAGGAGTTTTCAGCTTTGCCGATAAAAGAGTTGGGGTCTGAACGGGTACCAACGTGTTTTTATTTAATTTAATAGAAATTGTGTTATATTGAATAAAAGTTATAAAACTTGGAAATATAAAAAGTAAAATCGACTCCAAAAAAAAAAAAGAAATTCATCATCATCATTACAGCCCTTCACAAATCCACTGCAGAACATAGGCCTCCCACAAGGAATACCACTAAGCACGGCCCTGAGCCACCTTCATCCATCAACTTCCTGCTTGTTTTCCCAGGTAGTCACTCCATTCTAGTGGGGGAACGCCCTTCATTTCGCCTGCTGGTACGAGGCTACCACTCGAGAACCTTTTTTCCCCATCGATTATCGGTTCTTCGAGCTATATGGCCGGTCCATTGCCACTTCAGCTTTCTAATCCGTTGGGCTATGTGGGTCACTCTGGTTCTACTGCGGATAGCCTCATTCCTAACGTTCCTCATTCCCGACCATAGCCCTCTCCATAGCTCGCTGAGCGGCCTCGAGCTTCATCATATGGCCAGCAGTGAAGAATCACACCTCAGATTCATAGGTCATCACTGGTAACAAACACTGGTTGTACAATCTAGTTTTGAGGTATCTTTTGAGGTTTTCCTGACGAAAAGATGTGTCGTAGTCTCCCGAACGCTGCCCAGCCGAGTTGAATCCGTCGATTGATCTCTCGGTCGAAGTTGGACTTACGTAGTCGAATTAATTGTTCCAGGTAAACACATTCGTCAATTTCAAGCTTAGTATTTCCAACAACCACTGGCATAGGTGTAACATGGACATTACACATGACTTTTGTTTTGTCCATATTCATCTTAAGACCTATCCGTTGGGAGACACTAATGAGGTCATTGAGCGTAGTATATAAGTCTTCCAGCGATTCTGTAATAAGGAATTTATATTTGGCAAATCAAAGGTGAGTGATGTACTCGCCATTGACGTTAGTACCGTATCCTTTCCAGTCCAGTAGCTTGAAAATGACTTCCGATGCAGCGGTGAAGAGTTTCGGGGATATTATGTCACCTGTGCCTCTGCCAGTCTTACACCTCTCTGCAGTTGAATAGGTTTCGTACTCTGTTTCTGTACTCGGACAGCCATCGTAGCCCTACTGTATAAATACTTCAGTACTTCGATATATCGACAGTCAACTTGGCACCGATGCAGAGACTGCAGCACCGCCCAAATTTCGACGGAATCAAAGGAATCATAGTATACATATGCAAGACAAAGTGGCAGATTGTACTCTTTTGACTTATGTACAAATTACCGAAGGATATGTATGTGGTCTATGTTGCTACACCCTTTTCGTAAATCGGCTTGTTCGGGAGGTGGAAGTCGTCGAGTCTGCCCGTGAGACGATTCGTAATGACTCTCGAAAACAGCACGTAGACGTGGCTCAGAAGGGTAATTGGTGTGTATTTCTTCAATAGAGCGTTGTCGCCTTTCTTGAAGAACAAGACCACCGCACTACTGCTCCACGCCTCCGGAGTAGTACTAACATGGAGGACGGAACTGAAGAGCTTCTGAAGCACTTAAAGTATCGGTTTTTAATCCGCTTTCAGAAGCTCCGCTGTAATTTAATCCTCACCCGGAGACTTGCCGTTTTTAAGGTGCTGGAGTGCAATTCTAATCGCGCTCAGACTGACGTCCTGGATATCATCGGAACAGTGTCAGATAAGACTCGATCTTGCAGAGTTACTCACACTTGCGCGTGGCTTCAATGATGACGTGCATATGCTGCCCATAGAACCTCTCAATCTCACTCAGAATCTCAGGTGTCCCGGAATTGATGCTATGGCAGTACTTGGTATTCAGCTTCGACAGTTGACTCTTTCTGGCAGACATATCTCTGGCAAATACTTTGGAGTCTTTTTCCGCTTGGTCGCTTCTTCAATACGAGCTATATTGAGGTTGCGTAAGTCTCGCCGCGTGCATTTGGAGATCTGTCTGTTCAGTTGCGTTTATGCTGTCAAATCTACCGAAGACTGCAGCTTCATCTCCCGTCTAACAGCCATGATATTAAGAGTGTGATTGGAGAGTTTTTGTGTTCTTGTGCGACGGGTTTTAGACAACATTGCTCCGATCGCATGGACAGTTTCCACAAGCTTGTTATTTTTATTGTCCACTTCCTTGCAGTCTTCTAGGCACTGAAAACGATTTTATAACTCGAGCTGAGTTTTTTTGGGACTTGAATTAGAGCACGAGGGGCGTTAACTTCATTAGACGTGGCCTCTCCAACTTCACCTTCACCTTCAGGTTCAGTGTGCCTCTCACCATTCGGTGATCGCTACCAGTTTTCACCTTTTCGATCAATGAGACATCACTGGCCATCAATGAAGTCAATCTAATTTTTGGTCGAACCGTCGGGGCTCGACCAGGTCTTCTCTCTGTGGGGCCGCTTTTGTAAGAAAGAATTCATCATAAAGAGTCCCTCTTTCTCCGTAAAGTCGGTCAGCTGCTGGCCTCTTGTGTTTCATTGTCCTATTCCGAATTTTCCTACTTTTAGCCCACTGTTCTCTCTTGTGCCTAGTTTTGCATCGTAGTCTCCCATTAATACCGTATAGTTGGTTTTAGAGCATGTCTCTAGAGATATCTTCATATATATCCTCCACCTCCTTGTCACGATGCGCCAAGGTGGTGCGTAAACCTGTATGACTTTCAACGAATACCGTTTGGTAATTCTGAGTATAAGGCACGCAACCCTCGTCGACCTGTTAACGAGAGACTTGTGGACGATAAATCCGACACCTCCTTGGGACAGATGGTCGTCCTCCCGGTGACTTAACAAATTGTCGCCCTCCAGGTGATAGAACAAATTGTCGGATTCGGGATTACCGTGTTCTCCCCCTCTCTTCGGACCTCAGATAGTCCTATAATCCCAGTGCAACTTGTCTATTTCTTCTTCCAGCTCTAGGATCTTCTTTACAGTCCTCAGGGTCCGTGCGTTATATGACCTCCCCAGGTCGAGTCATCTTAGGTGACAGCCAAACCTTCACCGGAGATTCGTCCCGTCGTTACCATGGTCGCAGCCGTAGCCAGAGAATAGGGCGGTTGCCGCGGACTGGGGGCCGTTTATTTGTGTCGTTGCTTATTTTTTTTTAGGGGTTATGTTATTTCGAACACGGTATGTGTAATCAATATCCGATGACGCCGATGGGAAACCAATCTTCATTACAATGTTGTGAACAATAGTTAGTAAAATTTTACCCTTAGTAAAAGGTAATTCTGATATTTCTAAATTATTGATCCTTCCTTGTTGTTCCCTCGCTTGTTGCTGTTCTGATAAGTTATTGACGGTGGATTGTAAGACATATATTATATCCTTTGAGATTGATCCAACTTTAAGGTTGTTTTGCTCCATAGAAGATTTCAATAAGCAAATATCATTTTTGAGGGTAGTTTGTTCATCTGACAATTTCTCAGTGGTGAGCTTTATATCATGCAATTGCTGTTTAAACTCACTTAAATAGTCACGAAGAGCATCCAAAGAAGACTTTATGTTATTATTAAGACTCTCAAGCACATTATTTATAGAAGCAGGAATTTTATTTTGAAAATCAATCATCATCTCTTTAAAATCACATTTGCAATCCGGTAATTTTCTTTTCCTTTGTATGAAATCAACATCTCCGTTGAGCTTTGATACATCAGGGTATGATCCCGATCCTTTTGACGGGCTTCTACGAACACTCATTTTTAGTTAAATTTGTTTCGTAAACAGATGTATTCGAAGGTAGCATTGCTATCACGGTAGTTATTGCAATTTACGTAAGATATAAGCGAATAACACGACGGTATAAGCAAGGCGAAGCGAAGTACACGTTGGCTATCCTTTACTCCCAACTAGTGATTAATGAGTCTGAGCACCACCGAATCTCTAGCCTTCCCGTACGCGCTCGTTCGTTATCGCTGACAAAATTTATAGTAAACACACCTGAAATGCACAGTTGATTGAAAACAAAATGAGTTAACTGAACACAACTGAGGAACAATTTTGTACACGTGCAACCATGTAGAAATACGAAACAAGAGTTTATAATAAAGACAAGGCTTTATAATAAAGGCAAAAGTTTATAATAAGACCTCTAATATATATTTGTGTATGTTTATAGGTCGCAATACTAAAAGTGTTGCGACCTTAAAAACATACACAACTGATAGATAATATGCTTGCAAAAGATAGGTTATTTTTCGTCCCTTTTGGACATCACCTTCATCATTATCATGATAGCCATCACAAATCCACTGCTGAACTCAGTGCTTTAAAATTCATTGATCATCATTGTCATTACAGCCCTTCACAAGTCAGTAAACAAGAGATGCTACAAAAGGATTGTAACTTTGTAATAATGATCTCATAACAAGAAATATATTACTATCAAGAGACCATTAACCAATTAACGTTTATAAATTAATACTGTTCTTCTATTCCTTCTAAATGTCATCGTGCTTTGTGTCCGTGGTATTGTAATATGTGAAATATTTACCAATTATAATACCAATTCAAAATCAATTTATACCTGTTGTTACAGATTATTTAGCGTATCAACAGCAGTTTTGGCGTCCGGTCCTCCAGCTGAAGGGGCAGTCTTGCCAGTTAACCTAGTGGGTCGTAAATCATCCCAGGGTTTGGGTGTGGCTGTGGATCCACGCGACGACAGCATATTCTTCAACCCCATGACTGAGACCGCGCTTGTTGCTTGGAATCCTATCACTAATACTCACAGGTTAGTTGATTAAGCTATCAATGCCTTGTGAAAAAATAAAAATAATCCTGAGGCGACGGAATGAGCACATTTAATTTTAGAGCTCGACTGGAAAGTAAAATATAAGTTTGATATGCGATAAATTCGGAATTTAAAATATGGAATGGAAACTATAATGTAATTCATGGCGCTGAACTTGTCAGTGTAAATTTTAAAGGGCATTAACATATTTTTTGTGACTCGCATATACCTTCGTATAATTGCTCATAATTTCTCACACTTCTTAGAAATGGAGATGTGTAAATATTATTTTTAGAATAACGTTCGCCTGTTTTTTAATGACATTATTGATTTGTATTTGTCTACCAGCGGGTAAATTTGCATAGTATTGGTAAGTACTTGTGAATACGTTTACTGTTAATGTGTATTTACAACTCTTTGTTTTATGAATTTGGGATGTAAAACCAAATTCTCGTTAGTGACGGAAAACACCGTGAGGAGGAAACCTATTGAGTGAAAAAAATATTATCAGAAATTCTGAAATCCGTTAACACGCTTGAAGCAGGTACTCTGATGAGTCAACTCGATGCCTACTGGCTGTTGTCACCTAAAAAAAAAAAACTTTTATGACAGAGTTGCGCAATTTAGTGTCATTAGTTCTAAATATAAATCGAGTTTTCCGATAAGAGCGGGTCGATGTTGACGGGCTGTGGCAGCGACGTTGTTTTGGCAATGTTCTGTCAAGTCAATTGCTTATTATTTCATTACTGATGCCAAATCATCATGGTAAGTTACACGATTGTGCAACGTGTCCAAATGATAAAAATTTATTATCAAAATTAATGCTCGTTAGTGCAAACATTGTGCGAGTTACGCTCAGTTTACCGCAGACTCGGTGGCCTTTCAAAGTTGACTCTGCAGCGTTTGGTGAACAAATTCGAAATGACCGGTTTGGTAAATAATCAGTCAACACCAGTACATCAAAGGAACATTGCCAATGTCCGTGAAATTGTGCAAGGAATCCCGAGGCAATCAATTACAGGTGGCGGATTTTTGATCGGGACTTGGGCCTATACCCGTACAAGATCCAACTGATCATCCAGGAGCTTAAAATATATGACCACAAACAACGCTGTTTCTGCGCTAACTGAGCTTCAGAGCGTTTGAAAAAGAACCTCAATTTTGACCGAAAAATAGTCTTTAGTGATGAGGTTTATTTTTGGATAAATGTCTATATTAATATAGTTCAAGCGGTGACCTCGAAAAAGGGTGGTCGAAGAAAGGTATAACATTTCCAAAAACTATAAAGATTTTATTGTGTTGACTGAGTTTCCCTCATCCGTTATCGATTTTTGTATTTATACCCTGTATTCATTTCATCACATACTTACAGCTTCACAGTGCTCTTGACAGACGGGTTAAAGTTGTCCGGAAAATTATTATGAATTAAAAATATATGAAAGTGCTTAGTAATTTTTCAATAAAGCCTTAAGACGTTATCTTGAGATACATAATTAATTAATTATTTAAAAGAAATAGTACTACAGATAAGCAAAATAACTTGTTAAGAGAAGCTTACTGTCCGTTTTTTATCAAAATGTATCACATCAGGCCCAAGTAGGTTAGAACAAATAGAGCATATCACAAAGAAACTGTATTATCGCGTATACTTTTAACACTGTAATATACCCTTTATAGTTTTTAGCTTTCGTAATTATTCTAAAGTCATAAACATTAGTCAATGTTTGATAATTACAAAAAGCTACGTAATTCTTCATAATATAATCCATTTATCTGTACAGATTGCTTGCTCAAGACCCTGAGAAGCTGCAGTTCTGCGCTGAGGTACGATGGGTGGAGCGCGATAACGGCGCTATCTGGGCGCTCTCCTCCCGTTTCCAGAAATACTTCCTGCGGACCGTCACCAAGCACGAGGTATTAGTTGATGGGAATAAAATAAAATATTTTAGTTTAAGTAAATGAAATATTTTAAATTCGCCTTGTGATGGTGGCGTAAGAAATTTCTTTAAATCATATCATCCTGTGGGTGTCGTATGAGGCGACAGAAGGAAAAGAAATGGGCGATGTGCAACAGAATCTTATTACCAACACGACAATTATATATTATTGACAAAAACTTCTCTGTGTTATTTTTTCAGACGGTGAAAGAGTTCGCGATTTATTTTATTTTAATGAAACTGAAATGACAAACGAACTTAAAGTTCACCTCATAGTAAGTAGCTGCAGCTGTCCGTGGACACCTACAGACAATTTGAAACAAGGAAAAGTCCAGATATGCGTTGTTGCCTCTGATGTCAAATATGGAATACTTCACACACACATTAAATGAATTTAAAAAGTCATTATTAATTCTAAAGGTTCCTCGGGATCGGGAGTTCCTCAGGGCTCGATTCTTGGCCCATTCCTGTTCTTAATCTACATTAGTGACTTACGCACACACTCACATCACCTGTTCACACAATGGTATTTAGGGGCAGATAAAGGTAAGGGGGTAGTATCCAACAAGAAAGATTTTTAGGGAAAAAAGGTATCCTACTAACTAGTGGATGGATGATAATAACCCTTGGAAAGGGTGATCGCTACCAAGCTATTTCTAATTTGTTTTGTGTTGTTAATTGTAACGTACATAATTGTTAGCTATAATTTGAAAAAAAAAACCGCTGGGTTTTTTGCTGATTCTTCCTAGGACAGAGGTGTTTTTTGCGAACCAGTGGTAAATGAAAAAGGTGACTTTCAATAAGTATTGTTTACAATCTATATTGAATAAAAAAGTTTCTGTATCAGTAGATAATATTAATAGTATTAATAAAATAGCAAATTAATGATGCGAAATAATTTTGACTGACTTCAAAAACTACGAAGTTTATAATTTGTCTTATATATAATTTAAAAGTATGCAACGCAATTTATCGAAAAATTAGCTAATATTTTATTTTTATTTTTGTGCCGTGCAGTGACGGAGTAAAAATGCCCACTACCCGATATCGTCCGACGGGTGTCAGAAAAACTGAAACAGGGGATGGAGATTAGCATATTCCTGATAACGCAGTGATAAAAAAACTGTAAAAAAAGCGTGGCAGTAATTGCGAAATCTCTTCCACAGAGCAAACTATGAAGGAAGCCTATGTTTAGCAGTGGACTTTTATACGCTGTAATAGATCGATGATTTATTTGAATGTAGAGTTCACAAATCTGATGGTTATTTGAATTCAGCATAGATAAATTTTAATCTTCCAAATTTATTTTCTCCTTGTTTTTAAATGTTTTTGAAATTGTTTAGCAAGAAAAGTATTTAAGAGAAAGTTAAATAGTGATAACCTTATTTTTAGGTGCTATACTTTTAAATTATTTTATATATATATAATATATTATATAGTCATTGTTGTTTAATAACATTTTCATGGATTTTATTGTCAAAATTAATGGAGGGTCCATTCAGACCAGATCAGGTCAGACCTCGCTAATGTTATCCCGATTACTTTAGTGAGTAATTTAAAAAGGAGCCTTTAGATGAACAGAGAAAGAGCTCATATCTTAAATTCTATAATAATTCCTAATAGATATTACACAAATTGTAACTGCAACTTTTATTTCTTAGTGGTGTCGGAAAAAATCGTGGTAGAGCCATGTTGCAGCCGTATTACAGTTTTAGCACGAATGAGCCAGAGAAAGGACGAGAAGAAGAAGGAACTCGTGGTGTCACAGAATGCCAGCATAAAATAGCAGTTTAACGGTGCTGTGTTTTGATATAGTAAGGGTAGAGACCCGGAAACCATTTTCCTAAAGGTGTCAATGCATCTGCAGTTTGATCCATAATTGAGGATAGATTTCTATAGGTAACAGCCACAGCATACACTTACCATCAGGTGGACTGTGTGTTAGTTTGTCATGCTTATTCTTTTAAAAAAATCAGATGGAAAATATCTATGACATAAATAATTTATTTCAAAAGCGTGTGAAGTTCGTCAACTCGTATTAGGCTGGATAAGTGCGAAAGGTTTACGACTCACCACTGACTGACAACTCTAACCTTTCAAGGATGGGAAATCAGCCCGTGTACCACTCCAATAGTAAATTAAAATTAAATGTCTTTTATATACTATCTATTCAGGAAAACATTATTTCTGTTTTATTAAGGAGAGCAAACAGTTGTGTAACAAAATTACAATTCAAACCTTATTTAGATTATTACACAACCAACACCGTTTTCCACAAAATTCTGTACTAATTAAAGTTATAAGGCACAGAGAAAACAATATAAAAATCAGAGGCAACAAGCCGTTGACTGCAAAATCATGAATGTTACATGTATTACAAAAAAAAAATTTGGTTAACGTTATAAGATTATAAGAAAAAATAAATAAATATAAAAATAAAAATTACAGGTCATTCAATACATCTTTTATAGCTTTTCTAAATTGAAGTAGACAAATGGTGGGTAAGTCTACATCGGAGAAGCTATTGTTATACAGTTCCACCATGCGACGCAAAGGTGCATGCACTCTTTGCAAGCAACTTGGTACACTATAGTACATATAATTAACAAATTTAGAGCAATCGAAAAATTTATGACAAATTTTGTAAAGAAAAGCACAGTCACGCAGTAATCGCCTATTACTTAAAGTTGTTAAAGAGTATTTATACAAGAGGTTATCATAAGAGGACCCAGAACGATACCTTTGGTAAAAGGGATTCAAAACTTGTGTCGCATATTCCAATTGGGGTAAGCGAAACATTTTCAAAAGGAGTATTACAAAGAGAATATGCGAATTTAATACTATTACTTTTTTTAGGGAAGGTGATAGTTTTAAATTTAGGCGGGCTAAGAATTAGTTTATTTAATGATTTCTTATATTTACGCGAACACTACACATTGATTAAAACTACTTTAACGGATTTTATCGCGTTTAATTTTTATTTTAATTATTTTGATTATTATTCTCGACGTTTCATTCATCATGTTTCAATTAGTTTATTTTCTAGACAATAGGAAGATAAATGATCCATGTTACCTTGAAATAGAACAGTCATCCAAAGTTTTTATAATATAGCATATAGCAAGAAATGAGAATTTTTGAAACAAGCCGATATATCGTTTATAAAGATTAAGAACAGAAGATGATTCAATATTATTATTATAAGCCCTGTGGCACGCCGGACGATACATTTATTTTATCGGATGAGAATCCATTAACCAAAAGGTGGTCCTGTTTGTGACGTACGATGAAAACCATCACAATAAGCTTCCGCGTATACCGTTATAAGCAATTTTTCGAAGGAGAATTTCGTGATCCACCTATCGAAAGCCTTGCAAAAGTCTGTCCAAATTAAGTCGATTTAAAGCCGTTTGTCCACATTGTCGAATAGAAAGTCAGTTTAAAAAAATGTAGCATTTTGTTTTGACGAGTGAGGGTATAAAGGAGCGAAATATCCAACTGATGGTAAGTGGATGATTCATATTATCTACATATGTCCTCGATTAGGAACTAAAATGCAGATGCGTTCTTATCCCCAAGGATTAAGATTGAATACTTCGTTGTTAATAAAAGGGTCTCAGGTTCTCTGCGCGTTGTCGTAATAAAGTAGAACATATCTTTTTTACCAACTTTAAAAAGGAGGAGGTATTCAATTCAACTGTATTTTTATATGTGTGTTACTTCATGACTTTTCGCTGGGTGAACCGATTTTGATGATTCTTTTTTTATCTGAAAGCCGGTGCTTCTCGTGTGGTCCCATATAAACTTAATCAAGTATAATCGTGTGGTCCCATAAAATTCAATATGACCAGTAGTCGATATTGAATTTGGCAACGTGGTGAAAGAGTTAATAATTTTAAAAAATCTCGCCAATTATGGGATATTATAGGTATATTACTTAGTAAGGCCCCTTGGATTCATAATCTAGGTCTGCTCGACCAGGGAAAGATTACGCTTGCTTGCACATACTCGTATGTATGCCATGAGTTTATTACGATAAAACTTTGTTGTCATTGCTCTTATCTCTTACTGAGCTGACGTCGTGTCGGGAACCCCGATGAGTAGTGATTCGTGACTGCGTTTGTCATTGAAAAACCATATTGTTATTCCCCACGAGGGAAGGTAGATAATAATTTATGTATTACCGTGCTAAGTATGCGAACAGATAAACGAGAAATAATTATGTAATTTTATTGCTCGTTTACATAAACGTATTTTATGTCATAGATTTTTCGTAAACAGATATAAACATTGCTATGTATTTATAATAAAGGTATTTACGAGGTTGAAAAATCAATCTAGCATACAGAATACCAGCGTGAAATAACAGCTTAATAATCATTACGTGCGTGTATTTAAGCTAATAGCCAAAAATTTTATCGTAAAACAAACAATATACTAATTTCATATAATTAGCCTGGTTAACCTATACAATTTTGTAATTAACATCTATTTAACGCACGCGAGTAACTTAATCATGTGGATCATTAGGAAGGTTACGTGTTATTAGCTGCATTTCATGCGTAGACGTTTTAACGAGGCATGTTTTTACGTGGTAGAGCCACGTTACAGCTATATATTGTGGTTGTAGCACGAATGGGTCGGCTCAACCGGGGCAGGACTTGGTAAATTATTTATTAATCTGTGGCAGGACCACACTCTCACAGAATACCAGCATAAAATAGCAGCTAAATTATGCTGGGGTTCGTATGGTGAGTGTAGAGTACCGGAGACCCTTTTTACTAGAAACGAGGCATTCCATCTCAGTACTCTGGGCTAGAAACGCATCTACATTTTGATTCTTAATTGAAGATAAATGTAGATGTCTATGGGCCACAGCATCCACTTACCATAAGGTGGACTGTGTGTTCGTTTATTACACTTATTTATCACACCAGGAATGACAGCACAACCGAATTTTGATTCTTAGTCGAGTCGAGTATAGATGTAAATGTTTATAGATGACAGCTTCTAGCTACCATATGTTGGACTGTGTGCATGTTTGTGATCAATATTTTTTCAACAATATCATCACTACAGCTCTTCACAAGTCCACTGCTGAACATGGGCCTTCCCCTTGGAATGCTACATGGCACGGTAAGCGACCTGCCTAAGCGAATCCCAGAACAAAATTCCAACGCCGAGTAAATTTAATGAAACTTTGTAGTATTCTACGGGGAAGACCTATGTTGAGCTGTGACCTTGTGAAGTGCTGCAATGATGATGATGATGATGACATAGACAAGTAATTAACAAACGAAAGTAATAAACAACAATTATATATTTACTAAAATGTTTTCAGTTTCAGAAATGTTGTGAAATTCATATATATATATATATATATATATATATATATAATTGTGCTTTGCTCGGTTTTTTTTTAAATTACATTTAGATATAAATTACATACTGATGAAACATAAATAATATTTTTTGATCTTATTGACATAATAGAAAAAACTGAACTGGTTATTTGAATAAAAAACCATGAATGCAATTAGTTTATTAAAATTTTCGTATTTTTTTAAAATACTAAAAAAAGGGCTCGAAATAATAGATTTTCTTACAAAAGAAGGGAACTTGAAAAATAAAGGAAAAAAGTCGGACCGAAGGCAGGACGCGAACCAAGGCATTGCGGTTTCGCGACCGCTCGATATCCACTTGAGCTATTACGATCATTAACACAGTGTCAAAATTTACCTTCTTTTATTGTAGCATTTTTCATTGCTTGAAAACACGGACAAAAAGACATTTTCTAAAAATAAATCCTAGCTAGATCGATTTATTGCCCCCGATACTCCCTGGACACTAAATTTTATGAAAATCGTTGGAGCCGTTTCTGAGATCCCGATTATATATATATATATACAAGAATTGCTCGTTTAAAGGTATAGGATATAATATATATATATATATATATATATATATATATATATTATATATATATATATATATATATATATATATATATATATATATACGGTTCCGATTTGGTTTTATCATTTAGGTTACATATTATTTATGAGATATAGTACTATTGTCGGTTTATAACTTCATTAAGCTCCCCGTTTGCCGTCTTATTTTTTCACAGAGTTCTTTTATATAAGAGATAGCAAACTTGCATGCTGTCCACCAGATGGTAAGTGGCTACTAACGCCCCTGAACAATAGCCGATACTGGTTGAGGCAATAAAGGGAGTGCCCTGAAATTGAGAGCTACGACAAAGGGGTTCCTTTTAGCGGTAAACGCGTAAACTCGTGTCTTCTGGGGATCAACTTGACTAGATTTAGTCGCGCCTATCCGAGATGCACCTATATGTTATATTAAAATATTGTCTTAAAACATTTCCCTAACAATGTTATGTTTGTTGCAGATCAATGTTCGGATCGTACGCGTTGTAGACGGCGGTTACAACAGCCTTCCGTCACACGTATTAAGGCGGGCCGCCACAAACTTCAACTCAACCGTCTATTAAATCAACAAAAATAAAAAATACTCTTTGCAACCATTATAATGTTTAACCAATTTTATGACAAAATTAATTGATGTTTTTTGTTGATGAATTCGTCAAATAATTTTAATAAAATAAAATACATACACTACGACAAACTAAAACTATTAAAAGTGAATTCTTAAACTATTAAGATCTCTTATTTTAAGTTTACGAAAATATGAAAAACGATTCAAATATAAGATTATTCAGTCCTTATAAAAACCTTATTTTCTTAGCATTTAAACATTTTTTTACTACATTTTTACCGTCTTTTTCGTTTTAATCACACTTTGAATGTAAATAATAAAATCAGATGTGCCGATTTATAACGTATACATATTGTAATTTAGATTGGTGTTATACTTTTTTATTAAGTTATTTACATAATAAGATATACTGGCTTCGCTTTTGTTAATTTATTTAGAGCAATCTTTTATTTTTCATATAGTACTAGATGTTCTTCGCAATTACGTCATGCGTTTTAATTAAATTGCGCGGAACCCTAATTCTTTTTCTAAAATAAAAGTAGCCTAAGTTACTTCTCATAACGTCAGCTGTCTGCCAGTCAATCGACTCAGCCATTTCGCAGATTAGCCGGAACAAACATACAGACAGGCAATAATTTAAAAAATAGTTTTATTTGTTATAAGTACCGTTCATACTTTCGTATGCATTAAGTAAAAAGCAGTTATTTTGACATTACAAACAGACGGCTTAGCATCCTCTTACTGAAATACTTGCATGATATGTGTTCAGATAACAGTATTTACTTAGTGCAGGCGTAAACCTTCATCAAGTACTCCGTAAACATTAGCAACACATGAAATAAAGAGTAAATAAAACCATTGAACTAGGCTCATAATTATGTTTCCCATTTTTAAATGTATGTTTCTCCATAATGTAAAAAATGTGTAAACGTTATGACTATTAATAAACACATTTATTTAGCGCTATTTTAACACAATTTAACTACATAAATGTCTGTTTATGTTATTTTTTTTTGATTGCTCATACAGCGTCACTCCTGTACATACCCTTTAAATTAATTTATAAGTTTTTCTTCACTTCTAGCTCCTTTATGCATCAGTATTAAATATCTAGATTTGAATCTCTACTGACTGGTGCGATAACAATTTTGTACTTTCTTACTTAGTAAGTGCAAACAGAACTGACAGTGTTTTGACTGTATGTTAGATGTTTAAATTATGAAATGGTTTAATAGAATTTTATTAATATTTTAATGTCACACTAACTGTTTAATATATTCTATTGTAAGCCATTTATTTCATTTAAAACATTTTGCGTGATTTGAATAATAAAAGCGCATGTTTATTGCTTGATTTAATAACCGATTATGTTATTGAAATGTGGTGTTAGTCATTTTGTATGATTTTGTTCGAATAGTTATCTTAAAAACTATGAAATAAGAACATAAATATTAAAATTATTAATAGTATTTTTATGTTATATTAATTTATACCACACCACGTATATATTATTTTTAATAAAATTAAATTTATTATATTCTTTATAGCAACAATTTACGTTCTCGACTGTTTATTGCGATGTCTACATTATATATCTACAAGAGTAATTTTTAGTAAACGGAACAAACTGAAACCCGAATTCACAAAGAGAATTTTTTCACTGCGAATTACGAAAAAACATTAATTAATAGTTTATAAATGTTTTAATTAAAATATATAAATACCTATTTGGTATGCAAAGAACAAGATGGACAATTTTTATGTAAATTATTGATATATACTTAATATAACAATTATTTATTTAAAATAGAAACACGAAATGAGGGTATTTTATATTATTTCAAAACATGTCACATAAACGGTAGAATAACTAAGAGAAATTTAATGTTGTATACAACGTTCGTTCAGCTTAATGATTTAGCAGCTGTTAATTGCAACAGATATTAATATAATTATTATTATTGTAAGCGAATAAGAAGTAAATTCAGACTTTTACGCAAATAATATATGTTTACTATACGCAACCTTAGATTGTATTACAACTTTCTATAAACCTACCATGTAAAACCTGTCATGTTAAAATCCTTGATGGATTGTAAATAATCGTACTTCGTAGCTATTCATTAATTGTAATTATAATTAATGTAATGGCAAGCTAAAATATTAGCTCTCAAAACCACCTTAAAATAGGCATGATGTATGAATACACTGTATTTGTAATAAAGATTAATAAATCAATTAAGTAGCAGTTTTTTCTTTTCTCTCCTTATGTTGTGTAAATAGTGAATAATAACCTTTATCGTGCTTTAATAAGCATTATTTTACCACAATATTGGCTTAGTGCAAATATACATCAACGACTTAGCCTATTAGCCGATTTCAAAAAAGGAGGAGGTTCTCAATTCGACTAAAAAAACTAAGTTGACAAACAGGGATAAAACTTAATGATTTCTTATATTTACGCGAACATTACACATTGATTAAAACTACTTTTACGGATTTTATCGCGTTTATTTTACTTTTAATTACTTTTATTTTTAATTCCCGACGTTTCGGGCGCTTTCCAGCACCCATGGTCACGGGGGACTGAGGTGACTGACGTCCCGATGTCATTGTTAAACCCGGAGTACCTTCAGCTTTTTTAATTATTGTTTATGGTCCGATCTATGCAAAATGAACTATGTCCTGAGGTTTTGCAGTGGTATGCTTGGGTTTAGTTTTAATTTTATTGATTATAGGATCCCAAGCAGGTGGTAGTACCCAGCCTCCTTCTCTATTGAAATTAGGATGTTTTTTAATTTGAATAGCCTCACGCAATCATCCTTGGTAGGAATCGGTTTCTCAATATACAGATTTTCTCAATACTTAGCTAAAATATTATCACCACTCAGAGAACACACAAGAGCACACACTAAGGATTCATAGCATTTTGTCAGTGAGATAAAAGACCTAAGTCTTACTGACAATGAAACCATGGTCAGTTTTGATGTTCAGTCTCTATTTACATGCTTACCTGTTGAAGACTGCATCTCAATTATAACTAGGAAACTAGAGGATATATAATAATATGCCAGCAGAATATGCAGTATTACTCAGATATTGCCTTACATCTGGCTATCTATTGTGGAAGGAAGAGTTTTACAAGCAAGTAGATGGTGTTGCGATGGGCTCACCTGTATCTCCTATTGTCGCCGATATATTCGTGGAAGAATTTGAGGGGAAAGCCCTCCTTACGGCACCTGTTACACCAAGGATCTACAAGCGGTACGTAGACGATACTTTCACAATTTTACCATCAGACAAAGTAACTGCATTTTTAGAACATCTTAATTCCATAAACTCTAAAATTCAATTTACTATGGAGTTAGAGGCAAATATTTCCTTACCTTTCCTAGATGTGTTAGCCATCCGAAATCCTAACAACACCATTGGTCACACTCTGTATAGGAAAAAGACCCACACCGATATTTAAACGGTGAATCTCACCACCATCCTTCACAGTTAGCTACCGTGGGCAAATCTTTGTTACAGAGAGCACGAGTGATCTGTGACAGCAAACACCTGGCCGCCGAGCTTCAGCACGTCAAGCAAGTTCTGCACGACAACAAGCTTCGGGTCCCGCGCCAACGTCACAGTGACCGAGTGAAGCCGGCCACAGTCGAGCGTGTGCCTGCTGTACTACCATATGTCAGAGGTGTCAAAGACAAGATTGGCTACATCTTGAAGCGAGCTTCTATTAGAACATTCTACAAGCCGCCGAAGAAGATTAGTCAGTTCCTACCATCCGTCGAGTGTCATATTCCTCTACAAGATGCAGGAGTGTACAAGTTTGATTGTGAATGTGGTCTCTCTTATATAGGACAAACAAAAAGATCAATTAGAACCCGCGTAAAAGAACATATAGCTGATGTGAAGCATCAACGTACCGGGAAGTCTGCAGTTTGCGATCATATCCTAGACGGCCCCAACCATTACATCAGAAAGAACACCGATTCCTACCAAGGATGATTACGTGCGGCTATTGAAATTAAAAAACATCCTAATTTCAATAGAGAAGGAGGCTGGGTACTACCACCTGCTTGGGATCCTATAATCAATAAAATTAAAACTAAACTCAAGCATACCACTGTAAGACCTCAGGACATAGTCAGTTCATTTTGCATAGATCGGACCGTAAACGATAATTAAAAAAGCTGAAGGTACTCCGGGTTTAACAATGACATCGGGACGTCAGTCACCTCAGTCCCCCGTGACCATGGGTGCTGGAAAGCGCGCGAAACGGGAATTAAAAATAAAAGTAATTAAAAGTAAAATAAACGCGATAAAATCCGTAAAAGTAGTTTTAATCAAGGGGATAAAATTTTTGACTAAACTATTGAAACGACATTCCAGTTATTAACTTAATCGTGTGTTCTTTAGTCAACTCAAAAATTTTAAAAGATTATATTTACTACATCTACATACCTATAAAAAAGAATGTGCTGAGTGACTGACTCATCTGTCACACGGCACAGCCCCAACCGCAAGACGCAAAAATCTGAAATTTGAAAAGTAGCTTCCTTTTATGACTTCGACTTCCACTATGAAAGGATTTTGGAAAATTCAACAACTGAAAGGGTAAAATGTGATGATGGTGTGTTACAGTTTATGTGAAACTTTTTATTATACGGGGCCTTTGACTTGAAACTTACTAAAGGTACTCTCTGTTCATAAAATGAATTAATAAGTATTTTACAATTTTTCCAAACAACCCCTCTGTGGGGGGGGGGGGGGCAGAGGGTGTTCTAATCCGTATGTAGATAAAATATTTAACGGTTTTTTTAATGTTAATGTGTCCAAGAGAGAACAAGCTTCGATTTATAACTCAGACGTCTACTAAGAAAGCCATTTGCAAAATTCAAACCTATATTTTTCCTATTTCACCCTATAGGGTGAAATAAGGTGTTAAAATTTATACGACACTCTTTATTATAATATTTAAGCTAAGGCAGCTAA